GGGGGGATATATTGAGATTGATGATGGTTCTTCATGTTTTGTCTACTTTTGTTGAAGTGTATGGAAAAGCGACATTTGCCTGAATGTGTCAAATATTTTGGTAGTTATGTGCTTAGTCTAAATTTTTCCATGTAGCACCAGTTGTAGGAAAAAGTTTCCTTTTCACTATAAATTGTGTCTTAATTTTTCTGACGTTCTGTTCAATTACAATAGTCCCCACCTAAGATCCCTGTGCTTGGGAGCATGGAAAATGCAGGATGGGAGGCTTTGGTTTGCGTCTTGCATTATTGTGTCCATATAAATTATGAAAAGAAGGGATGATAAAACACATACCTTTTGTACTTCAGATGCAGATCTATGTTTTAATACCTAGTGTAGCGTAACTTTTCTCATCATTTAAACCCATCTTGAGTGATGCGATAGCTCTATTAAATTAATGTGGTTTTGATCCTTCTTTTTATTCAAGCATAAGAAATTTTGTGTATAACATATTTAAAAAATATTATTTTATTTATAATCCTCAGATGTCTATATTGGTGCATCCTGATAAAAACCAAGATGATCAAGACAGAGCTCAGAAATCATTTGAAGGTAACCTGATAACACTTTTTGTTATGAACATACTGCAGCTATTGACCCTGGAAGCGTGACAGCCCTATATGTAGGGCGTGAGCCGGGCTACCCAGGAAGCATGATGGCCTTATATATGGAGCCGACCTACTTTGACTGGGAAGCGTGAAGGCCCTATATAAAAGGCATAGACCCTGACCTTCTTTAATGTAAAATTTCAGTGTTCCTTATATATATTTAAATGACGTAGTAAATTTCAGGTCAAAGTTATAAATAGTGACCAATAAGTTTGCAAGTCGTTTTGACTTCATATCGGGTCCCTTGGCTCAGATATCGATTGATAAAATGATGCGGTCCAGCTGAAGGACTACATGCCATGTGTTATTACTTGAACTTGTTTCGCTGTGCTTCTCTACTATTTGTCGACTTCATCACATTTTGGGCTTTTTTTTGTAATTGTTTGGTCGCTTATCAATTTTGAATGGCTCATTCTATCAGCTTTGAGAAAAGATATGGTTTTATACGTCTGTTAGCTTCTGTTGAGCCGTAAATGGTCATTTTTCAGTAGCAGGTATAAAACTCAGCTGATACTCCCGTCAAACCCCCATGTTTACAACTGATCGGTCGTGGCAGCGGGGCATTTGGAGAAGGTTACTTCCGGTAAAACGGTGCGTGCTTCCAGGGTTAATTTGTAATTGTTTTCTTTTCCACATTTTCTCTGTGCATGGAGACTGGTAGTCTCTGTGTGTGGGAAAGGAATCATGAATTGAAAAGATATGTTTTTTTAGGCCGAAGGGCCAGAACCCAGATGGCCACTGGATCGGAAAAGTAAAGTAAAAGACATGTTATAACCTGTAACAAATAGAGGGCTGTCTATATGTTGTTTTGATATTACTTGCAAGGTAGAAGTATATTATAGTTGATCTTTAGTCAAAACATTCTCTGTAGATATATGAGCATTTATGTATGTAATTGAAACATTATTTAGGTTTCATTCATTTTACTATCTTTACTGTTTGTTTACTATTTGTTTGCGTGCTATTTGTAACAGTTGAATCCTCTAAATATTGCAAATTTTGTCAAATACTCGTATTATGAAGGTCTTTGAGTATGCCATGGATGACAAATTTTGGAATTGGAATTTTCTCATAAATTTGTGTAAAAATCACGATCGGTCAAAGTGATTTAAGCTTGTCCATACCAAAATAAAATTTTACTCATAAAATAGTCCAGGAGTTGTTTTCGAGTGATTTTTCAGCATGTTAAATAACAGTAAAAGGGACTGCTTTTTCTTATGTGGCTCACTATAACAGGCCAAGTTTTATTTAGCTGCCCAATCCTTTTACAACTTTTTTAGTTTCCTGTTGTGGGTATCAGCTTTAAACGGGATCCCATAATTTATGTTGCTTGTGTTGGTTGAGCTCAAGAATTCGTTCTGCTCTTTGGCATTGAAGTGACATGAAGAGTCATAGCTTTTTATTTCCATTTTATGTTCCTGTGCCGTGGATCTAGACTGCTCAAATCTCTTTATTTTGAAAACGTTTTTCAATAATGATACGAGAAGTTTTGTTGATAATATCATGGGCAGAGATGTGGTAGTCATTCATATGTGTGGCTGTGATCCAATAGTCTATGCTGGGCTCAGTTCCAAATTTTGATAGAAGTATGATGGGTATCATAACGGTTGTCTTGCAATATAGCTGTAGGGCTGCACATGTGTAGATCCCAGTTTGTACATGTTCAAATCCCCGCTGAGACATTCTCATGGAGGGATGCTGCTGCCTCCTTTGTCTTTTGAGACACAAGAAATTCCTGTTTATGTCCCCTGACTGGAGTGGCTGTGCTATGGTGAAAACTCTCTAGCAAGCAAAAGTGTACTCTATGAATGGCTGATGGGATGGAGTTTGTAAAGTACAGTCAAACCTGCTCTAATGAAAGCACCATGAAAATGGAAATATATTGGGAGAAAGCCAGGAAATCAAAGGGCTGCCAAGAATTATGAATTTGGCAGAATTGTTTAGGCTCACTTTTTAAAAAATTGTCAGTTTTGCTCCCTGCCCCGGATTCAGATTTAAAGAAATGTATTAGCTGTTCGACTTTCAACCCGTCCCCACTTTCCCGATGTTTAAGTTAGGAAAAATCAGATCCCGACAGTCTACGTCACTACGTCATGCACAGCTAACTTTAACACCCTCTGTGCACTGAGCCCTAGTAGTCACTCAGTAACACTTTGCCCTTAGAAAAACATAAGCTGGAAGAAAGGCCAACATTAGTTTGTGACAAGGTGTTAAAAATTCTTGCACCTGTGCTTTGTAGGTGATGACCTAATCAAATGAGAACATTTTTACCCCAAAAAACCCACAGTTGTGCGGCATATTGAATAATTGTGCAGTGATGTACAATTAATATTTAAGATCCAAGGCTTATGACACGTTCTGTCGGGGTTTTTTTGTTTTTGCAAGAGTCAAGTCAACAGTGAAAGTACCCCCCACCTTTCTTAACATTACACTTATCTTAGAACCCCAAGGAAAGGGACTGTCCATGACCATGGTACGATTTTTATCTTGCTTTTCTCTTTATTTCTACTTCTTTGCTCTGACTTCCTTTAGAAAAGAAAAAAACTCTTTGAAAATGGTTGCAAAATCCAGGAGGGAACCTGGGGAAAAAAAACGAGAAATTTTTTTCCACTTGTTGAGTTGGAACCCTGTATAATGATACGGTGTAAGACGTCCACCTGTTTAAGTCAACCGCTTTTCTCCTTAACAGTGGTGGCTGTTTTAGACAACTTGGACTGTACTTACAACCTGCACCATGCTTCAAATGGTGTGAACCTGATAAGGACGTCACACTCATTAAAAGCACTCTGTTAGCTCCGTCGGTATCATGCTAGACTCCGGAGCGGATAGCCCTGGTTTAAATTCCCATCAAGTAGTTAATGAACTTGAGATGTTTTGTGGAGTTTTCAAGGCTGTTAACCCAATTGACATGTGTCTTATCTTTTTAATTAGCCAACTGTCTTGAAAGGGGCATTGAACCATTACACTTACTTACTTTACATTCATAAAACATTTTTTGGGTGTTTTTTTTGTTTGTTTGAGCAGCTGTGAACAAGGCCTACAAAACACTGGAGAATGAGGAAGGTCTCAAAAGATGCCGTGAAGTGGTGGAGGAGGCAAAGACCAGAACAGATGAAATGGTGGGTTGTGATGTTGTTTCCTTTTATTTACGCATTTCTTGTTGGGACTGCTACCAAAATTTCATTTTAAGGATTTTGTAACAAAACATATATATTACAGTCGAACCTGCCATGAAGGCCACCTCTGTAAGACGGCCACCTCTACAAACAGCCACTTTCCACCCCCCCCCTTGCGTTTTTACTATATAGTTTCACTGTGTAAAAGGGCCACCCGTCCAACGCGCCCATGGCCACTATATTTCAACACACAACCATAGCTGCCACTTCTCTGCTAAATAGTGGAAACTCCGCTTCATCTAGTTTTTCCCTCTACTTTCCTCTTTCCTCCGCAGGACCACTTTTGATCGCAAATTGTGATACTTTTTTTACACGTGGAAAACACCGAACTGGGAGTGAGATAAAAACGTGGCTTGCACATGTCCGGCCTTAGATTCCTACTTCCAATCTGTGCCTAGCGCTAGTTTCACTTTGTTTATTGTGGAGCGACACTGTCGATCAAGCATTGGGGCGATAGCGCGCCGAGTTGTCATTGAAAAAGACGGAATCCGACAGAAATTGATGCAGAATGTTAAAATAAATGGAGCTTGATTGAGAAAGTAGACGGTGTCCAACTTCAAAAGTTCATTAGAAAATTGAACAAGCCAGATGCTGCGCTTTGCATTTGGTGCGATAAAGAAATCTTGTTGTACAGCGGCAAAGGTGTTGCCTCCTTAATCCAATACTGCTCTACATCATTGCACAAGTCTAAAGTGAAAGAAATATTTTTATGAGACACTAGTTGGCAATAAACACTGGATTGTTAGTCACCAAGCTGGGTCAAATGCTTGTTAGTCAGCTTAATGTCTTAGTTTTTTTGGGGGGTTTTTTCAAATACATTTCAATTCGGTATGGTTAACCAATATAACTCTTTTCCCTTCCAAAAAGATAGATGTTTCAGAATATTGCCCCTGGATCTCACTGGTTTTATTGCGGCCTTCGGAGAGTGTGCATACGCCTTCATGTGAATTTCCTCTGTTTTTGAAATTCCTGAGTGGCAGCTATGACAACCCCTATCACACCAAACAATAACACCTGTCTTAGACGGCCACCTTAGGTGACTCCATTACATTTTGACATAAATCATGCATTGGCCCTTGGTGTTCTGGGAGAGCGTCATAATCCAATCAACTGTCGTTGTTGTAAGGTAGTCCCTCCAACCGGTCATGTTGCGTTGGCCCCTCCCACTGTTGACCAATAGGTAACACATTTTCAGCTGCTGGTGAGGTAACCATGTGATCCCACATAACCCATAAGCCCCACCCAGAACTCATACACAAATCGTAAGGGAGGTGAATGGTTACTGTTTACCCAGTCTGTAACAAAGTAACAATTGACGTCAACGTGAACTTGCGACAGAAGCGTCGCTCGTTCTCCGGGTCAAGTGGTTGCAACCCATTAGTTTGTTTTAACATGGCACTCGGTCTTGCTCGTCTGACACATTTCGTTTTATTGTCACCCTTGCACAAAATGAGCAACGAAATTTTTAAAAAGCAAACAAAGAGCAAACCAACGAAAATAGCAACAACAACAATGCTGCAACCTTCGGTTGGGACCTCAGAAGGGAATTGTTTGTTTTCTTCATCTTGATCAGTCCTGCTTAAGACAGCCACCTGTCTTATAAGGCCACTATTCTGCTTGACAATGTGTGGCCGTCTTACACAGGTTCGACTGTATATGCTTAAGGTGAAAAACAGAGAAATAAAGCTTGTTATTTACGTTCTGTTAGCGGATGAAGAAAGTATTGAATTGAAGTTGCTTAAAATCAGCAGTTATGGGACATTTTCAGACCAAATATTATGAGGCAATCAGAATATAGAATTTTCTCGAGATATGATAGAAAAATGGTGAAAGTTTCAATACTGGAGACAAGCCATTATATCTTCAAGCTTATTTTCTTCTACACTCTTTTTTGCCACGGTAAGAAATAACATCTCAGACAGGAGCTGTCGATGCCGGTGACGAAAATGTCGTGTGTCCAGCAGTCTTAGTTTCTATAATAATATAAAAGTGGAATTTTGGAGAATTTTCATGACTGTCTAAAATTGGCCTGGTCCAGTTGCAGATAGACATAGTAACATTGTTATTGCCTTGTAACTGAAATTTGTTTAAAAGGTAAGTTAAACATTTCCATGGCCGAGAAACATAGTCGTACCCAAGAAACATAATCAAAGCCTTGAAATTTGAACCAAGTTTGCTCTGTAGCCCAGAGTGTAAGAAAGAAACATTCTTAGATATTTTAAAATTTTATCAGGGTTAGTGACATGCCTGTTGACATGATTTTTATTAGTAGCAGAACTGCGAAGCATTTTCCTGGTGTTAAGGATCTTTTTCTGTTGTGTTTTAGATGTTTGTATTTCATTTATTGTTCAATTTCTGTACGGTATCATATACAGTCGAACCTGCCCTGACAGCCACCTCCATAAGACGGCCACCTGTACAAACGGCCACTTTCCATTTCCCCCCTTGCGTTTTTTCTGTATTATTTAACTGTGTAAAACGGGCACCTGTCTAACGCGGCCGGGGCCACCATATTTTAACACACAACCCCTATCACACTAAGCAATAACACCTGTCTTAGACGGCCACCTTAGTGACTCCATTACGTTTTGTCATAAATTGTGCACAGGTCCCTGGCGTTGTGGGTGAGCCGTCATAATCCAATCACTTGTCGTTGTTAGGTAGTCCCTCCAACCGATCATGTTGCGTAGGCCCCTCCCACTGTTGACCAATAGGTACCAATTTTCAGCTGCTGGTGAGGTAAGCTTGTGATCCCTCATAACCCATAAGCCCCGCCCAGAACTCATACACAAATCGTACGTGAGAAGAGTGGTCACTGTTTACCCAGTCTGTAACAAAGTAACAAAGGACGTCAACATGAACTTGTGACAGAAGCGTCGCTCGTTCTCCGAGTGGTTGCGACCCATGTGTTTGTTTTAACATGGCACTCGGTCTTCTTCGTCTGATACATTTAGTTTTATTGTCACCCTTGTGCAAAATCAGCAACAAAATAAGAAGAACAAACAACAACAAAAACAACAACAATGCGGCTACTTTCGATTGTAACTTCCGATGGGAATAGTTTGTTTTCTTCATTTTGATCGGTCCTACCTAAGACGGCCACCTGTCTTATACGGTCACTTTTCTCCTTGACAATGGGTGGCCGTCTTACACGGGTTTAACTGTAGTTATGAGGATGCCCCAGCAAATCTGCTCCCAAAACTTTTGTGGCATTTAAACGTTTTTTGCCACAAAGAAAAGTGTGATAGGTGTCTATTTAAATCTTCAGTCTATTTCAGACCGTTTCACTTTTACTCCGCAGATTAATTTCAATTCCTGTGTCTTACCATGATTGTGTTGGACCAGCATGACAATGGTCTTGCAGTTAACTTCTATGATGTATGTTCCCTGTGATATTAATATTATATTGTATGATGTTCTATTATTCGATTTATCATTGTGAAACAGATTCGCCTAAAAAAGAAGCAGCTCAAGAAAGAAGGCAAGCCACAAGACGTTCCTGAGGACAATGTTGACAAAGTGAGTTTAGAATTTTCACTGTCTTTTTATTGTGTTCTTATCCTTGGACTTAAACACACAATGTTTGGTTAGGGGACCTAAGCTCTTTAACTCACTCACTACTTACCACATGAGACTCTAGAGACCCTCCACTTCTGGCATTTTCATATATGAATTTCATGAAAGACATTTTTATTAATATCAGAATGGTCAAAATATGTTGTAGTATTCTTTAATTGAAATTTATCATTAAAAAAAACCCCAACAACCCAACCTTTCAATTTCTTTTTTTTTTCCTTTTCGTTATAGATTTTTTAATATGTCAAAATTTACAAGGGTAGATTTTTTCCCTTCAAAACCTCTCTATTTTCTTTCCACTCGTGTCCCATCAACAACACATCACTTATGAGACAAAAATACAGGGAAACATGATTTTACATACGTAGATGGGAATATAAATAATTCTGAAGAGGAATTGTGAAAAGAAACACTTTTTAGCCAATGTCAGTTACTTTTGTGAGGTAACCCTTGAGATAAGATCCTGATTTTGTGGGGCTGGAGCAAAAAACCAGTTTCACAATTGTCTCTGTTTTTGCTATTTTTATCTACGTCGCTAGTAGATCTAGATCTAGTGGAAGGTCACAGGGCAGAATTGAAATAGAAGATTGCTTTTAACTTTCACTTTGAAACTTCCTGTTGAAAATCGGTAACTGTTTGATGGGAAGTTTTCTCCAATAAATAGATTCTGCTACAAAAGGGAAGCAGAAAGATTGCTTTTTTGTCTTGTTGAATTCTGAAGGAGACGGCATGCCGTTTCATGTCACAATTAAATAGAAAGTCACGATTGACACATGTGAATGTGACCTTGGTAATTAGTTGATATAGACAGGCACCTGGAAGCCTACTATAAGATATCTCAACATGAACAGATATTCATTTTCCACCTGAGGACGGGGCACAGCTAATTAAACTGTGACATTCACAAATACTTTAAGGTGGTCTGGTCTTGAAGCTGAGCATACTCTCCAGACTTACAGAAAATGCAACAAAGTGAGAGAAGTTTAGCCAACCTCTTTGTGTTAAAGTGTAGGGGACTTTCATTTGAAGGACAGAATGAAACTGGGTGGTTGGCGGGTGCTCTAGTGTTGTTTGCTCCTTTTTCCCTACCAAACATCTATCGTCCTTATCTCTCGTCCTTCATTTGTGTGTTTGTTACTCTCTTGTAACACCTCTAATATTTGACACTCAAATGACCTTAGTGTGTTGCCAGTGCTGCAAAACTCTTACTAAAACAACAAAAAGCAGAATAAAAGAAGACAAACAGGATTGAGTCTCGAAATTCTCTGTTGGAATATCCATTTTAAGATATTTTCCTTTTGAATTCAGTGGAAGTTTGATGTGTTAACATGCTGCTGTTACGTTGTTAGTACAACATCTAATGGTAATTTGAAATAGGATTTTGTATTGAACAGGTTTTGTAAGAAAAGTTCACTAGGTTCTGCATTATACATGAGTTACAGAAATAAACTTTTACTGCGTGCTCCAGTAAGTAACAGAAAATGGCAAGACTATGTCAAGATTTTTTATATCTTGTGTTTAAGGATTGTAGTCTTCAATGATTTATTTCACATGTTTTTTGTTGGAAATCAAATGCACATGTAAGTACAGAAATGAGAACTGGTGTGTTGAGCTGTGAATTGTGACCTCCTTTCATGCACACGCTTTGAAAACCCATGTTTTTTTCAGTGGCTACATTTCTGTTCTTGATTTTCAGTACCGTCACGCTGTATATGTACAAACATGTAAGCTGTTTGCCGACCTGGAAAGACTACGTCAGGAAAGAGAGGCCAAAGACATGCATGAAAGGTTGACCGCATTTACTTTCATTCCTGTTAACTTTTTTTATTTGACTCAGTGCTTTCAGAACTTGTTTACTTTCATGAATGAGTGATAGATTTTTTATCTGGTGTCTTCTTTTTTTATTCTTCGTATGTGCATTTAATTTGAGTCATCTCCATTTGCTGTTGTCAGGTTAATGATAGCTGGTCACTGGTAGACTGGGTAGCAAGCGTGTCTAACTTGTAGACAGTTATGATTTTTACAAGCCTTTTCCAAGCTAATGAAATGATGCATGTTTACCTGTTGAGTGCATGAGTGCCATTTTTTATGTGATAAAGAGTTGGTTGGGTTTTTTTTCTGTTTGTTGGTATGATAGCAGAAAAAATAGGGTAAAGGATGCAGAAAAGAGGGTCATAACTTTATTTTATCAAGGGAAAATAAGTATGTGCTTTCGTGGATTCGTCACATTAGGAGATCATGCTAATAGAAAATGGTAAATTTGGTCGTCCCAGATCATCTATCCTCATTGACAATAAACTCTTGTATTTCAAATGAATGGCTGGAACCTGATGAAGTTACCTATAGCAGGGTATGCAGCCAATTGGTGTTTGGGTGTCATTTGATTTAATGTGATTATTTTTTATTTTGAGGCCACTAGTCCTAAAATAAATCTCACAAAGACAAAATTCAAGGAACATATAAATATATTTTAGTCCAGAGACTCCATATATTTGCTGGGGGCTGACCACCTCAAACTTAGTTTGGTATTTTTACCGTAATTTAAACATTGTTGGGTATTTTTACCGTAATCTGTCCAAAAAATATTTCATGTTATTATCTAAAATTTCAAGCAAAAGCAGTGTAGCAATTTTAAAATGTCTTCAAAAAGTTAATAATGACAGTATATATGACATTTGCAAAGTCTATAGTGCATACCTCTGATTAGAGAACACAGCATAATCAGTATTTTGGCTGGGCTTGAGGGGTCAAGGACTTCAGTATTATCTTGGTTAGTGGGAAGTGAGGGCCAGAAATAACTTATTGCTGTAAGGATTAAAATAAAATTTAAAAAGAAAAAAAAAAAGATTTCTGTTTGACAAGATCAATTGACTTTGCAACAGGAAACAGTATATTTTTATTTACACCTGACAAGTATATTTTATTGTATGTAATGCTATACTGGTGTTTGGAGAAGTAATTTTGTAAATTTTCATGTTGCTGTCATTACAGGAAACGTAAAGCAGAGGAGGAAGCAGTGGAAGAAGAGAAGAAACAGTTTGAAAAGGAATGGCAGAAAAACTTTGAGGTGAAATTGTCTGAGCACATTTCTCTCTCTCTCTCTCTCTCTCTCTCTCTCTCTCTCTCTCTCTCTCTCTCTTTCTCTCTCTCTCTCTCTCTCTCTCTCCCTCCCTCCCTCCCTGCCTCCCTCCCTCCCTGTTTGTGTTTTTCAAGAGAAGGAATCACATTAGGTTATGTGTTGTAGTTTGTATTTTGCATTTATTTGTATGTTGTGTTGTTTCTTTGTTTAAGGAGATTGAGGTTCAATGAAATTATTATATATTGTGTTGTTTGTGTTTCAGGAGAATAAGATTGGTTGAAGAGCAGCAGTTGAACGTCCTACTTCTTTTCTGTACATCTGCAGTTTCTGCCTGTTTCCTTGCGTTAAATGGCTGTTATCATAATGTTTAGCTTCTGTGTACTAAGGCAAAAATTAATAATGTGTTGTTTGTATTTGCCAAAAGAAGTAACATCGAGATATATGTTGTGTTGTTCGTTCAGGGGTTTCATTTAGTTTTGGGTTATGTTTGCTTTAGTTTTTCAGGAGAAAGTCAAATTGGTTGAAATATAAATTGTGCAGTGCTGTTTGTTTGTTACATCTGGTTATATGTTCTACTACATTCGGACCTGCCATGACGGCCACCTGTACAAATGGCCACTTTCCATTTCCTCCTTTGCATTTTTTCTATATAATTTAACTGTAAAACGGGCACCTGTCCAACGCGGCCACGGCCACATTATTTTAACAAACAAACCCTATTACACCTGTCTCAGATGGCCACCTTAATGATTCCATTACGTTTTGTCATAAATCATGCTTTGACCCCTGGCGTTGTGGCGGAGCCGTCATAATCCATTCCCCTGTCGTTGTTGTTAGGTGGTCCCTCCAACTGATCATGTTGCGTAGGCCCCTCCCACTGTTGACCAATAGGTAACACATTTTCAGCTGTAGGTGTGGGAAGCGTGTGATCCCTCAAAACCGAGACGTGTTATCAGCATGTCTCGCTCATAACCCATAAGCCCCACCCAGATCTCATAAACAATTCGTGAGAGGAGTGGTCACTGTTTACCCAGTCAGTTACAAAGTAACAATGGATGTTGACATGAACTTGTGACAGAAGTGTCGCTCGTTCTCCGAGTGGTGGCGCCCCATGTGTTTTTTTTACCTGTGCCATAGCACTTGGTCCTCCTTGTCTGACACATTTCCATTTTATTGTCGCCCTTGCACAAAAGCACCAACAAAATTAAAAAAATAAAATAAAACCCAGCGAAAACAACAACAACAACAACAGTGGGGCTGCCTTTTGGTTGGGACCTCAGAAAGGAATGATTTGTTTTCTTCATCTTGATCAGTCCTGCCTAAGATGGCCACCTGTCTTATAAGGCCACTTTTCTCCTTGACAATGGGTAGCCATCTTACACAGGTTCAACTGTATTTGTATGTTTGTCACATCAGGCATTCAGTTGCGGTAGAGTCTGCCTTAACCAAAATGTGTGGGATCACCGGATTGTCGGTTCAGAGAGAAAAAGAATGGCGGAATTTTTTTTCCTTAGGGTTACTGCTGTTTTTTGGTTTAACATTCTTCGATGGACTCCACTTTGTATGTTGTGTCTTTTGTGTGTCACATATAGTTATTCTAAATGTTTTGTTGTTTATTTGATTCAGGCGAGTCGGTCTGGGCGGGTGGACAGCTGGAGGACCTGGAACAAGAAGCCAAAGAAAAGCTCGAAAGGAAATCTGAAACCTCCAAAACTGAAAGCGGAAAAACGCTGATGCTCTACCTCCCTTCCCACCCCCACCTCCTTTGGTATTTCTCCAATATTTTTGTTCTCCTTTGTATTTTTTGGACTGTTGTCTTTGTTGTCTTGCTTGTTTATTAACACCCCACCCCCTCCCTACAGTCACTGTATTTCAGTGTTTGTTTGTGGTCCCCATGTTTTGTGTTACAGAAGTTTTAAAGTCTATTACATGCAAAGATTGCTGGACAAGATGTGTTACGATATAACTGCTGTTGAAGTGGATCTGCTTGCAGTCTCAGAGTCCTGATCAGGGATATAGGGATGTTAGTGATAGGGGGTGGGGGGTCTTGTCATTTCAGGTTGTCAGGTGGGTGGTGCACACCATTACCATGTGGTGTGAGGTGGACATTTTATTGCACTGTTGAGGGAGGTTTAATGGAAGGGGGTTCTTCATTTAGGTATTGGGGTTTGTACAATATACAAAGAATAAAAGTCCATGGTGCACTATTTTTGCTGCATGTGCATACAAGCAAAGACAATGAGAGGTACCTGTAAGATTGGCTACGGCATCATCTGTTTTCTAATGTTTTAGGTGTGACCTCATGTGATGACATTTTCAGCAATTTGATGATGGGGTGTGTTTATTGTTGGTTCAGTGCTAATGGATTCATGGTGTAGATCTTGTCCACATATGACATAATTTGGACATTTGGGTTTATATTCCCTATCTTTCTCACCTTTTAAAAATCATTTGGGCGATTACGTTTTGCAAGAGCTGACGGCCGTCTGCAAGACTAGACCTGTGTTTATTGATCACTTGCAAGCCTAGCAGTAAAGTAATACTAGCAAATTTGGTACGGATATGCACATTTTTTATTCCGGAGTACATACCCATACAGTGCTTATGGCTAAAACCGTTTAAAAGAATTAGAACCAGGTGATTAGTGTGACGTATATGTAACGTTATATAGGGAACCAGGAGCGGCAAATTTTGCTTACTTCCATGACGTCCATGGTATTGCACAAAGCTAAAAATTACACGTTTTCATGACCTACCAAGTTCGTGATGAGGCAAAAAAGCAGTTAAGCATTTCTTTACTTTCTCTTGTTTCCAAACAGACCTGATTATACTGTCTAATGTGTGACAGTTTTTGGTACCAGTTACTGTATACTGATTCCATGGCAACAGTTATATCAATATTTTTTTGTACAGATATAGGAAGGTCAATGTTCATCAGTGTGTAGTCTGTATGTATCTGTCTTGTGATAGTAAAAAGATGGTAGTGGTATGATCACTATGGGTGTTTGATTGTGCTACTGTACTGTCCGTGAATGCATCTGTGTTCAAAGAATTCTTAAAGTTTATGTACACTCTCTGTCTTAACAAATACCAGACGAGAACCAAGTGGGATTTGGGGGATTTTACTTGTTTGAAGATGTTCTCATAATGTCACAGCTTGGGCTGTCTAATAGTCTATCAATGTATCATGCTGGGCCACGGTGAGGATGGCCCGGATTTTCACAATGTGGGCTTCTTGAACATAGGTTGTTTTGGTAATATTGAAATTCAAGTCTCTACATCAAGTTTGCTCGGTCCTATCGGAGGAGGGCATTAAATTGGGAGGCGCTATTTCTGTCTAACTTCATAGGGTTGAAATGGGTTTCAAACCAATAATAAAATTATTTGATTTATACATCACAGTCCGTTGAAGTTGTTTCTGTCAGGGTGGGTGGTTAGCTGGTGCTCTGGTGTTGTTTGCCCTTTCTTTTCTCTCAAATGTCTGTTGTCCTCATCTCTCCTCCTTCTGTTTTGTGTTTTTTACTCATTTGTAACACCTCTAATATCTGGCATTTATGTGGCCTAACTGTGTTGCAAGTGCCCTAAAACTCTTACTAAAAACATTTTGTGCCAGGAAGCTTGGCGAGTCTTATAAGTGGGAAACTCTCTAATGTGAGTGGTATTGTGTTGAGACGTGTGAATCTATGCACTATGTGGGCATTTAAGAGTTCCAGTTTTTACTCATCTGAAAGTCATAGCATGTGTATTATTTTTATATTTTGGGTGCCCCTCTAATGTAGATTTACAAACAAAAACTTATATAAATATTTGAAAACCCAATTGTGTATTTTTTTGTTTTTAAGTGGGTTGTATTTCAGGTCACTAACCATTTTAGTGTAGAACACTCATCAAATATTGAAATTAACTGATGCAATTGCTGATCACTGTTATTAAGTTGTCTTGTGAGTGGTGGGTCCAGGCAAATCTTTTTTTTCCCCTTTAACCCTTTTGTTGCCAGGGGGTATATGTTTGTATTGTCAGCACTGATTTTCAGCTGAGCTTGTAACCTAGGACAGCAGCTGAATGTCTCAGTGTTAAAGGACGTGCGGTCTAGATCTAGTGCTCTCGTGACATACATTCGGACACTGGGTCTTCAATTGTTTCACTTTTCTTATTTCCTACTTTCTCCCGTCTTATTCATAATTTGGAATAACCTGCATTTCTAAGTCAAAAAGGGAATTTATTTGCCTTTTTAAAGTGATTTCGATGTTTACATTTTAGGAGAGCATGCGGCCGCCCCAAAGCCTAGATCTATGTTAATCGATCGCTTGCAAGCCTAGCAGTAAAGAAATACTAGCAAGTTTGGTACCGATATGCAATTCTTTTATTCCCAAATACGAATCTACGTAGCACTTGTGGCTGAAACTCCACACAGAAGAATTAGAGCCAGGTTATGAGCATGCCGTACATGTAACGTCATATTATGTAGGCAACCAGGCGCGGCAAATTTTGCCAACTTCGGTACACGGTACCGCGCTAAAAATTGTGCATTTTCATGACGTTCCAGTTACGTCATAAGGCAACAAAGGGATAAAAAATGCTCTCATTTTCTACAGAGTAGTATCTTGAATGGGACAGAATGCTTTTGAAAACCTGATTGGGGTTTAAGTAACAGTAAAAAAAAAAGATGTAATTTCACACTGATTGTCTGAAACAAAGAAGTCTGGTAGTGGTGTCTAAAGGTGGGAAATTGTCTAGGTATGCTGTTTTATTGTTAAGTTCTGGTTCCCTGCTGTGTAGAGACAAAATTTGTGGCTTTGTGCTGGCTCTGCCCCTGACTGATGTGCTACATGTGCTCTTGGTTGTTTGGCCCCTTGAGACAGCTATGTAGCTCTCATTACTGCTACGGAACCTAGCAATTTCTGGGGGGAAGGCTGAAATGTTTGGTTTTGCTTGTCTCTGTCTCCCTCACCCAATGATATTAGGTTGTCTTTGACAGTCTGAAGTGTCACTCCCAGCCTGGGTCGGCCCTGACAGGCAGGGCCGGAAGCTTGCCTTCTAAATCATCTAAATTATGTTGATGAGGTAGTAAAAGGTTTGTTTGTCAAGTTGCGAACATGGGGCTGTTCTAAAGCTACTCTTTGTGAGCCAAAAGCCAGTGTTCTGGGAAACCAGAAGTTGATGGATGCTGTAAATTAAAAAGGTTCAGTTATTGATTGTCATTTTCACCAACAGGCTCACTTGTTGAACACGAGTTGAATGGGTACATGCATTGGTTTCTGGTGCATGTGTGAGTTCCGCATACACTGCAGTAAAAGGACGTGTAATTGGGTTGTTTTAAAATTTTTATTATTTTTCTAATTTATGTTCAGATGTCTGACTTTTGGTCTGATGGACTGTCTGTCCATCAGACTGATTGGGTGTTTGTCTATCAATCAATCATTCTAGTGCAGCTACAAGACAAAACAACTCAAACAAACCTTCAATCATATTTTTTAGGCTGACGTTCTTGTTTGTACTGTTGGTCCTGAGTGGTCTCTGGGGTCACCACCAATTCGCTGCTGTCTGCTCTGGGCTGGGCCTGGTCTGGGACAGAGCGTTTTGTTTTTAACACCCTCCCCCCCCCCAGTCGGGAAGACATGATTCTGTTCAGAGCTGTTGGGTTGAGGGGGGGAGGGCGAAGGAGGGAGATAATTTGTGGTGGTCTGACTTCTCAGAATCTGGACAGAATGTAGATGATGCAATGTGATTATTCAGAACTGTATCTCTCCTCAGTAAGCCCAGATTGGTCTTGATGGGTAGGCTCCACCTTGTAAATGATCTTCTAAATTGTGTCGATTGGGGGGCATAAAACATAAATTTACACTCATTTTCATCCAGCCTCTGTTTCTTCTTAATATGATGGTCTGACATAGGACAGTCGCCCAGCTCAGAGCCACCCGTTGTATAGAATTGTTCTCTGCCTGATGGAATGTAGTTCTGCTCCTTGCTTCCCGCTGGAGATCAATGTTTTAGATTACACCTTTGTACATCATACAACATGTCTGTATTTTTAAATGTCTGATACAATTTAGGGTGTGTGGGCATTTCTTTGTATCTTTCATTGTCTCAGTGTTAAAAGTTCTCTGGTCATTACTTCGAGCACATTACCACTTGTCCCCCTCCCCCTAGATTTCATTGTGTCTGGGCGAGAAGCTGTAGACCAGTTGTAAATAAATATTGACTTGTATATTTTCATGAAATATTCTGAAGAGTTTGTCGTTGGTTGCTTATTTGTTTTTGTCTGTGACTGAGTTTCAGTGAGCGGGTGGTTGGCGAGTGCTATTGTGTGGTTTGCTCCTTCTTTCCTATCACAATCAAACATCTACCATCCTCATGCCTCCTTCTTCTTTTCTTTGTATGTTACTCTCTAATTTGTTTAATAACATCTTTAACCTCTGGCACTTATCTATTATCTATTTGTGGTGGCCGAATTTTGCTATTCAAAAGGCTTTTTAATGGTTGCATCGATCGACATGCGGTTTTCGCCAAAAGATTCTTAAAAATATTTTCAAGATCATGACGCCCTTCGTTTTTTGTTTTGAGACAGTTTTACTGCATAAAGCTAAATTTCTTTATTTCGCCGATCGCTTTTGTCTCTGTAATTTTAGAAAAGGAGGTTTCCGTTCACTAACCTTGCGCATTGTTTTGAGAGTATAGATCTAAACCTTCAAATTTTTGCATCTAAGGTTCATTGCTCCATTCCAGTAGAATATAAATATCATAAGCCCATGACGAAAATGACTTTCGGCTGACGTTAATGCACCGATCATTCCTTTCATCGAAAGGGGGGCCCAGCTAGTATAATGTATTTGTGTAGCAAGTGCCGTAAAACTCTTGCCAAAAAAAAAAAGGTTTCTGTGATAATGACCAAGGCTCTTGCTCCATGATGGATATCACACAGAAGGGACATACTATTTACTAAGTTATAGGCCTACTTGTGTCTCTTTCCTCACAATAATTATCACAGGGCTTTCTTGTACATGTACCTCACGGATGATTTGAGGGTGGCTCTGGTAAGTTTTATATTTAGTATTTAATGGCGTCAGTGATTTGGTGGTTAGGCTATCCGACTTGCAACGGAAATGTTATGGGTTCGAAACCTTTCGGAAGGGGCCTGACACTATACTATGTCTGGAAAGGCTCTTTACATGAGTTTTCCTCACTTCACCCAGGTGGAAATGGGTACCCGGCTATGGACGATAAAAATACATTGTCAGTTTGTTAGCGTTTGAGCGCTTAGTGGTGTGCTTGCATTGTATTCTTCCAAGGAAGCCGAACTTGTTTCTGAGGAAGAGTGTTTTACTACGGTCTACTGGGCTAGCATTAGTTGTAGAGCGCATAGAGTAGAGTAGAGCATGTTGTAATAAAAGCGTTAACTAGAATTAAAAAATTAAAGGTGTAACACCTCCTGAAGTAAGCCTGCCACTTCAGCTCACTGAAGAAACGGTGGTAGTAGTAGTACTGAGTGTGTTCATCTCTGTACTAATTTCAAACAAACAAACAAAATCGAACAAATAAAATTCAACACGGGGACGTCAATGTAGTAAATTTAAAGAAAACCAATCTCTTCGTTGTCGAGAAATATATAAAGTTGAGAAAAAAAAATTCAACCAAAATTGGGTAAAACGCAAACTTTTATGCCTCGTAAGCGTTCAGCTACGGACAGGGGTGTGATTGGCCCATTCTGGTTTCAGGACAAAGACGTTAAAATAATACAAATCACCTTACAAAGATTCTAAACGTGCCGAGAAAGTTCTGCTGGCGGTACAACGGGGTAAATTTACAGTAGTTTAACAATGACTGTACAGTAACAACTGACACAACTGGCGGATGGCGGTGTAAAAGCGCACATACTATGTTTATATAGAGAATTCTTTTCGTACATTGGCAAAGCATGGCCGTAAGCGAGGCTGGTGGTACAATGGGCGGTACAACGACGTTTGACTGTAGGCCTACTACCTTTGGGAATTTTTGACAGACAGATTCTACGGAAACAATACAACCGTTGAACTGCATTGGGAAAAAAGGACGTCCAAAGAATCGAGAAATATGCTACACTACAGGACAGGGTTAGTCAAAATTTCCAGTTTCCAGTGGGGTATTGGATCTTGTATGGAAAGAAATTGCCGACACTTGAAGATTTAAATTACGACCACCTTCCTTGAATGTGATTTGCAATATATCAATTTTGTATTAATTAGTGCACAAATAGTGACTGTTTGAAATACAAAACATGGTTTTAAAAAGCCGCAATGTTTTGCGTTTCAGACAATTTTGGTTGGATTTTAAAAAAATAAAAATTTTTCGTATATGTGAGACATCCCGGTGAAATCCAGCGCTCGTCAAAAGAATGAAATAAAAGAAATTAGCTTTTTTTG